CCAACTTCAAACGTGTTTTTCAATGTTTTACGAACATTTAAAATGTTATCTATTTCATCTTTTGAGTTATCATTCAAAAGTTAATCAAAGATTTATTTATGGAAAACGAAAAATAAACGAAAATCAAAGCTAAAAAACATAAAAATAAAGCTAAAACTAAATTTGCCAAATTGTTAAATCAATAAAATAGTCGTTGAAAATTTAATTTTTTAAAATTATCTTTAAAATATGACTTCAGTGATCTGATCCGGTTCGAAAACAAAGAGAATCTCGACCATAACACGCCCAACTCTCATACGCCTAACTTCTTCCTCCTCATATTTTTAATTCATCTGTTCACAGCGTAGGCTTCCAAGTCTCAATACACTTGTTGTGACAATAATAAAAAAATTTAGATATGTAAAATTTTTCATCTCAATTCAACTTGGAAAATCCCTGAATAATTTGTTTGGCAACCTAGATTGTCTCAGTAGTACATACATTTAATAGTATTTACGATGTATTCATCAGAAATTAAAAAACTTTACTTAGGTGTCAAAGTTTGAAGAAAAAAACAAAATCAGCCAGTACGCACTTGTAGAAGATGATGAGACGCAGGGAAGAGAAGGAAGCAAAGCCATAGATCATGCAGATGTGAGGAGATAAGATGGACGCATTATTAAGTCAGGATGGAATAAAAATTTTATTGAAAAATAACGCATGTCTTCAAAATCAATAGCACCGAAAGAAAATCGTATCCATTCAGTGCTGTTTCTATTTTAAATCAATTTTTCTTTTTAATTATAGATCAAATTATTCTTCAAGTTTAATCTCTCATTGTTAATTTTTTATCAAACCAATTTATGAATTCAAAAAGATATATGCTGAAGTAAAAAATTACTCCACATTTTCCTCAATATTCTCAGGCAGCATAATATGTTTCTGTTTATTTCGATTTTAAATAATTTCTAATCGTTTTTAAAAATGTTTTTGAAAAATTGAATAAAGTCATAACCATTGGTGCAACTTAATATAAATCAAAAATTAATTTCATTATTTCAATATTTGACAATGTTCATCAATCTTAACAAATTTCTACGTTACATGAATATAAGCAACAGAGAGCTTGGCGTTATCCTTTCCACAACTTCAATTAAAATTTGTTAAACTTTGTAGCATCGATCTAACTCAAATCATAAAAAGACAGAAACAATTTGCATTGATTAAAAGGATAGTATTTGATCAAAAGGCTAATACTTGTAAACAACTATGGATTGCCGTACAAGCTCCTTTGAGCTTCTGTCTCTTCATGCTTTTTGCTGAATAAATTGAATTGAATTGAAAAAAAAATTGAATTGAACTATGGATTGCCAAACAAACCTACAATAATTATTGTATATAATTATTTTTCACATTTCCATTGCAAATCTTGACATTTTGTTCAGAGTTTGACAACGTACTTAAAGAAGTAGATAGCTCAGTAGAATATGTTGCAAAATTTATAGCAATCACAATGAAACAGAAGAACAAAGATTGTATTGTTTTAACGGAAGTCTGTTGCTCAAATTGTCCAGATGGTCAGACACACACACTGATAGTCAGTCAGTCAGACAACAATTAATCACCTTGTCAGTGGGAGTCAGTTGGAGATGGAGAAGGGAGAGGTCCTGTCAATATTTAGATCAGTAATTATGGAGAAGATTCCTTCAAGATTTCTGAGTGTCATTTCTCAAATGCGAATTGTTGTTGCTTTCTTGTGTTTTTGAGTGAGTAAGGAGACAAATAAATTAACTAAAAATACATCAAGTGACAGAAATACGAATTGAATCAATAAATATAATAAAAAAATGTCAAATATATACATAAATATGGTTTTAAATCAAGAGATAATTTCAAAAGTTAAAAACGATAAAATAATTTGACAACAAATGCACATGTTACAAGAAATATAACTGCCAGCCTTAGCACTCCTTTCAAAGCGGAAAGGTTTCTAAAAATATGAGGTGAGGCTTGCGGGCAACTCTATCTCAGTTTCTCAGAAAGGCAGAGCAACAACGTAAATAAAGACGAGACCAGGCAAGCTGCATTACAAAATGGAGCGTGCAAGTGCAACGTGAAGGCCACTCAATAATTATTTTTATTGTTAATTATGCTTGAAAGCAGAATGTGCGAAAAATATTTTCTAGATCCATTTCGAAATATGTGGTATAACAAATTGGTTCGTTCATGGAACGAGTCATCAACTTGACGAAAAGACAAACAGACACATGAATAAGCAAGAATTCTACAGATTGATTGAAATGTTAATTATGCAATTCTAAATATTTATGAGAGAGAAACGAATGAATAAATTGGAAAAAATGAACATTCAAATGAATATTCAAATTAGTGAAAATTCTCGGAGACAAACGAATGAAAGAATGAATTAATGTACGAACGAGCTGTCTAGATAACTTTAATAGCTGAAGTTGATGTTATTTTACACAAATTAAAATTGCCTCTGGCGCTGGAAAAATGACATATTATTAATATTTATTAATATTTATTATTATTATAATCATCTGCATAAATTAAGACCATTTAAACGTTAAAAAGGCCACTAAATTGTGAAATATTTTTCCAGGTTAGAAATAATTTTCACACGAGTTTGAAAAACAGCTTAGAAAAAGTGTTGAAATAGTTGAGGAGAGCAATTGTTGTGGACTTCGGTGAGAACATCCGTCAATTAGAGGAATTCAAATTTAAACAAGATTATCGTCGACAGACTTACAAATGAAAGATTTTCATGTCGATGAATCTCAATACTCGCTCGTTCGTCGGCTGGCTCGTTCGATGTCCATTCGCTATTCAGTCCAGCGCAGATGAAAAGGTTCTTTTTAATCTAAAAAAAAAATTTTTTCGACTTGTTTTTGGCTTTTAGAAACGGCTGGTGAATTGGTTTCATAAGGTTTAAATTTAGAAAAACATTTTTTAAGATATGTGTATATATATTTTTTAAATTATTAAACCGACTTTAAAAATTTATTTTTTCTATTTCAAAAGCCATTTTGTGCGGTAGGTTTTTATTTGGAGCAGTAACGAGTGAATTTTTTGAATTTAACATCAGAGGAAAATTATTTATCGGAACGCGTTCTCCCATGCAGATGTAGTTCTATGAGGTTTTCCAGTTATGTCATGCATAGTAAGTTTGAAGATAATCTTCATAATGAAGGCGTTTTTAGCTCCGTGATTGTAAGTTTTAATAACGTTTTGACATGTTGTGATCGAGGAGTCTCTGCAAAAATGGATTGTTAATTTTACATCACGACAAGTGTGATAACCTCTTAAAATATTCAGGATTTTCACATAAAAAGAATTTCATTTATACTTGAAATTTTTTTTAAATATTATAGTGTTGAAAATTTTTTGTGCAAATTTTCTCTACGCAAACATTTGGTTAAGAGTTTTGGAGAATACCATCAATCTCTCGTTCATGATGCTCGTCAAAGTCAGGTTGCCTCGAAACCAACAGCTTCTTCAGGGCTGTGATTGATGTCCCGTGTTGACGGTAGTGATGATGATTGTGACGATGATGATGATTGTGAGGACGACGATGATGATGATGTAAGATGATGATGATGTAAGATGATGATGATTTATGATGATGATGCAAGATGATGATGATGATATAAGATGATGATGATATAAGATGATGATGATATAAGATGATGAATGCAAAATGATGATGATGATGGGTTGAGGTTTACTTCTCAGAAATAAACACAAGTAAAAAACGAGTATAAAATAAAATTTTGAACTAAGCGAATAATCATTTTTGTTGTTTTGTAATTTTTCATGGCAAAGTTTCATTTTAATTATAAAAAAAGGTTTACAAATTTTAATATCAAAAAAACGTTGATTATTTCATTTCAAAAATTAAATAATTTTCTGGCATTCATTTTGCTAAAAGATAATGTTTGCAAAGATAGTGTTTGCTCGTGTTGCACCTCAATATTTGTTAAATTTAATAAAATTTGCTTTATGATGTTTGGCGTCGTTTAATTTTTTAAAATCTTGTGTTGCAGATTTAAAAAAAAACCGATGAGATTTTATTTGTGTTAAGTTCACTCGGTGGTATGAAATTTTTTTCACTTAAATTTCCACGAAAACGAAATCATCTGTAACAACTGCATTGTGTTTAGTTTTGTAACATTTTCGAGTTTCGGTGCATATTAAAATTTATACAACTACACTTGAAAGTTTTTTCAAACAATGCGTTTCAACTCTTAAGTTTATCTTAGTATCATTAGAGGTTAGAGCTACACGATTCGTCTCATTTTGAGTTTATGTTTCGCTTTTAAGTTTCAACAACTGGTTCTGCAATTTTCTTTCAGTTCAAAATTTGAATAATATATGTATTAATTTTTGTAACTGCTTGATGACCTTGTTCGAATACTGCCTGTCCGAAACTGATAAACCAGATACTTCCGGGCGTCGTGTGATGAAGATGATGCAGCCTTTGTGGCACAGCAGTTCAATCAAACACAAAAGCTGCATAATAAACAAAAATGGTGATTATTCGTTTGAAAAATGACGTGCTACTTCAGTCAGCATTTTTAATCGTTTAGTTATCATCAACTTTGTAGAAAATTAAAACTGAAGTTCTTTCAAGACTCACTGTAGTGTTTGTCAGTATACGAAGAGATGAGAATTTTATAGTGATGATGAGTTGCTTAGCAATCATAACACTGAGCAACAAAAAAAATTTTTGAGGAAATTTCCTAATTTTTTACAACTGATTTATGATAATTTGGCACCGCTGAGTCCGAAAATGACATCCGTTTCTCTAGGTCAGGTCCAGTTTTTCTGCTAAGTTAAATGTTTATTTTATTTTATTTGTGAATAAATCAGTAAAATTTTTGTGCCATAATCGGTTTATTTCTATGAACATTTCTCATTCGGAATTGGTTTCAAAGAGAAAAAAGCGTTCTGAAACACAGTACCTTAAGTAAGGGTCATTAATGTTCGTCATTGTTAAGAATTTAGGGCTGGAACTTCCGTTTATTGGATACCCTGGAATGCTCAGCATCAGGGATGTCTCTCTTTAGAGTCCAGCAGTAATCAGCCATCATGACGGCATTCCAACGTCCCTGATACCTGGTCTCCATCTCCTTCATCTCCTGGTGGAATCTCTCTCCCTGCTCGTCGCTCATTGATCCAAGATTCTCAGGAAAACGATCCATATGTGAAAATAGATAATGCAGTTTGATGCTAATGTTGCATCCGAGTTTTTTGAAAGCAGTCACCATATTGTTGACAAGTTCAGCATAGTTTCTGGCCTTGTTGTTGCCAAGGAAGTTTTTCACAACGAGAACAAAAGCATTCCATGCTTCCTGTTCCACTTTGTTCATTGATTTTTCAAACTCTGGATCTCTGATGAGCCGACGGATTTGAGGACCGTCAAAGATACCAGCTTTTAACTTCACTATGGTTACTCCCGGAAATGTCTGGCACATGTAATTGAAGCAGCCACCTTCCTTGTCTAGAGCTTTTGTGAACTGCTTGATCAAGCCAAGCTTGATGTGCAGTGGTGGGAAGAGTATCCTGTCTCTGTCCACCAGAGGGCTGTTGATAACGTTACTTGCTCTGCAAGGCACTAGTTCCTCTCGCACAGGCCAGTCCTTCTTCGTGTAATGGTGAGTAGTGTCTCTACTGTCCCACATGCACAGAAAACATGGGTATTTGGTGAACCCGGATTGTTGCCCCAACAAAAAATTCATCATCTTCAGGTCGACACAAATAACCCACTTATGCTGATCATAACGAATCATCTCCAGCACATACTTCACCGCTTCATACTTCTCCTTCAGTTTAGTAGAGTGAGCAAGGGGCACAGAGGCAAACTGGTTGCCGTTGTGCAGTAGAACACATTTCAGTGACCGCTTGCTGCTGTCAATGAACAGTCTCCAGTCTTCGGGCTTGTACTGCGGCACTCCCAGGTGGTGCAGAAGCTGTGCAATATCTGTGCAGTACACCAAGTCCTGCACCTCCGAGAAAAATTGGAGGTACTCTTGATGCCTGTTGCGGTACAGGGTGATGCGAGCACAGCCAGAGAGGAGGTTTTTTTTTCAATCTGGATGCCAACAGTTCAGCAGAGGCCTTTGACAAGCTGAGGTCGCGAACTAGATCATTTAGCTCCTGTTGGGAAAAAAGCTGTGGAGTTTCATCGTCAACAACTGGCCATTCTTCTTCTGTTTCTTGATCTTCATCACTGGAGGATTCGTCATCACTGATGTCTTGAAGTTTGTGAAACACAGGTACTGGAATATCATCACAATGAGCTACAGGACGACGTGCGGATTGCAAATCAGGATACTCGAGGCTGCTTCGGTTCTTTCTGTTTATCCCAGTCAGATCGATGCTACAGAAGTAGCAGTCAGTGTCATGGTTTCTCTGCTCCCGCCAAACCATGGGAATTCCAAACTTCAGACACGTCTTCTTGCCCTTCGTCCACTGACGCAGATACACGGTGCAAGCCTTGCATACCATGTGTGGCGCCCAATCTTTATCCTGGTCACCAAGTTTAATACCAAAATAAGCATGGTAAGCACGCTTTATGAAACATGTGACTTGATTCCTGTTATGAACAAGTGTGTATTCACCGCAGATATAGCAAAATACGTCGGGTTTATTTTTACAAGATCTTCTCTTGGAAGCCATGTCGTTCGCTTGCGATTCGTTTGCAACTGATACCTATACTAATGCAATCTGCTATATGGCTCAGATTTGGAAAATGCTGACGTAACTATCCATAGTTATACACAGCCTCGTCCGGGCATGTCTGCGATTGTCTGATCACGTGACTGTAGTTACGTGATTTAATGCATTGAACGTGTGTGTGTGTGTGTGCATAGGGGAAACATAAAAATACCAATTAATTAAAAATTGCAAATTCCTCATAGTGATGAAGTGATTAAGAACAAAGAATCACATACAGCGAAAATACCTGGGACTGTACACAAAAAAGTGAAAATGAAGATATGGCCATAGCTTAGAAAGTTGACCTGATCTAGAAAAACCAATGTGATATTTGGATTCAGGACATCAAAATTTCCATAAATCAGCCGAAAGACCTTAGGAAATTTTTTGGGTGTTGACCAGTGTAATGAAAGAATTATGAAGATGTTGTTGTTGATAATAATGATGATGATATTGATGCTGACGATGATGATGACGATCAGAGTTGTAGAAACATCCGCTATAACAATTGGAATGATTGCTGCTGAGAATTGCTTTGTGCAACACAAAAGTTCATTCCAGGTGCAGCGTCATATATTCCCAGCTTTCCTCCCATTGAAACTTCCATTGTTATCCAACATGGAAAGTTTTATGACCCAAAACATTCGTTCATCGTTAGTGGCTGAGTAATGTTTTGAAACTAAACTAAACTATCTCCATTGTCGCACACTATTCAATTGATTTTCAAAAAAAGGTTTGAAAAAATTATTAATAAAAATTTTTTAGAAAGTTAAAAATTTTTTACACAATTTTATCAATCAATTTACCAGAAATTTTTAACGCTTTTTCCCTCTCTTGAAGCATCTACACGATAAAGGAAGGTTTATATTTACGTTTGCCAACTTGCTACTCAATATAATCATATTCATATTTGCCAGATAGCAAAACATGTAGAGCGTAGTTCTGCGTCAAACATCTGACAATACACAAACCTTCACATCCATGTTCTTCCATATTTTCAATGAAGGCATTCAAATGCCGACAGTTAGAAAGTTAGCAGCTGTTACACTAAATAGCTGAATGATTGTTGAAAGATTTTAGGGGATTTAAACATGCGGACACTGAAGCCTATAACAGCATTACTTATTTCATTTAACAGTAGTTTTTATTTTATTTCAAACACAATAATATAATTTGAAAAATTTATAATATGAAACATTTTTTAAATTAATTATTCACTCATCTGACACGTGAAAATGCGGCATTGAACGTTTAAGTTTTTTATTTTTCTGGCAAAACTCACGATTTCCTGGTTATTTCTTATAACTTCTTCTACTTTGCCAAGTTTTTTGTGAAAATACAATATCAATGATAACAATAACAAGATAGATTCCTTTTATCTGATGAAGTGATGCAACACAACCCTTTCATCCTAGGTGATCTCTTCCATCATGTTATCACTCTCTCCATTGTTGCCTGTTACATGGCTTTATCATTTTTATTCATTTCTACATGCACCCCGACTCATCCATGTTGTATTTTTTAATCTCTATTCAACTATTGATCATTATTGGCTATTATTTCTTTTCCACCACTGTTGCACGACTTTTATTATTTTATTATAAAAAATAACTGCAATAGAATTGTTAAAAGTAATTTAAGAGCCAAAAGTGCGGACACTTTAGACCGTATCGCCGTGTATAATTAACGAGAACCGTGCAAGTAGATGCATCAGAAGACTATGCAACTTGCATGCTCTGCTACTCTGCTGAGGTGGCCGTGTGTAAGTCCTAACGCTTTCCCATGTGAGTGCATTATCATCGTAAAAAAAAGGTGGAATCATTTTTATTTGGCATTATCCACACAGAAACACATACACACACCACGCAGACACACACACACAGACACACATACACAAACCACAGATACTAGACACCACACACAGACTATCATTTACGACTTGGTGCAAATTAAAACTGTTTCTTTCAGACAAAAATAAATTTCCAAACGGGCAGGCCATAAATATTTGACGATGTCGAATGCAACACTGGCGACGACGTTTGCGATTTTGAATGAATTTAATTAATTTCGTGGATGAAATTATGATATGATAACATGATATGTGTACTTTTTGCCGTTCTAATTGATTTTGTGTGCATGGTTTCTGATGATTCTTTGATTTTCCCATGGGTTGTGTTCCAAGGGTTTATGTTGCACATTTCTAACAAGCGTTATTTTTAGCGATGTTGTTGTTCACGATGTTGTTGATTATTTGAAGTGTTACTGGGTGTTGTATGTACAGATGAGTGTTGTTGTGCATTTGAAGATGCCATCATCATATCATCATTTTTGTCTAATGTTTGCAACGAGGCAGTTGCTTCTCTTCAACAAATGCTTGGTAGCTGACGTGTTCTCGCAGTTTTCAATGTTCCCAACTATCAATGCGTGACTGTGTCTATAAATTAACACAAAATTGCATGTGCTTGTGCGTCAGTGAAAGTTTGAAAATTAAATGGGATGGAGAAGGAGGATGTTTTCAACATTCGCAAGGACGTAAATATGATCGTGATTTTCAAATGAAAATTAAATAAAAAAAAGTGTGATTTTCAAATAAACATTGAAAGCAATAAGATGATTTTTAAATATAACTAAAATATTGTATAAAAATTTTTAATTAAATCCAAAATATTAATAATTTGTTTGTTTATTTTATTTATACAGAAGTGACTGGCAGAGGAACAATGTTACAGACAGGCAGACAGACAAATTTATAAACAGACAGACAGACGACTAAATAGACCAGAGAAAATTTTGAAACAAAATAGTCACTGAGGAAATTGAATTTCGTTTGTCACTTTCCTGACTGGCTGGCAAGTACCAAAGTGCAAAATTTTGTTCACGTTTGTTGTTTGTTTGCAGTCCAACAATTTGAGTTTATTGAAATATTGTCAAAAAATTTTAAAATTATATGGAAATAAAAGTATAATAAAACATTTTATAGGCTTGAAATTGTTGCGCTTAAAGTTAAACAAATACTTGGTGAGTCCAGTCATCATTTTTATAAACACAAAAACGAAAGTTGATTAGCGAATTTAAGCGCCAAGCCACAAAAGGTTATTTCAATTTGTGGCCATCATAAAGTTAATTGGCTCAAAAAGATTTCTTTTATGCAACAGAAGCATAAAAAATTTTATAGTTTCAAGCCTGGTTTATAATGTTAATTTACTCTTTTTAAATTGCTTTTTCTCAATTTTTCAAATTACTTTTTACGAATTTCAATAGAAATTTTCATTTTTACATTTATTTGAAATAATACAATAACTACGAAATAAATTTTAAAAAAATTTGGTTTTGGTTGTCAACGGTTACACTTGTATGAAGTTCGCCTTTCTTCAATTGAAAAATTACAGAACGTTCCAAATAAAACTACCAAACTAATTCATCTCAGCAAAGCTACTTACTTCATTTTTCCCAGTCATCAATCTTAAATTTTATTACTAACAAAATAGCAGTTTCAATATTAACAACCTTAGCTTCAACAGCTCATGCTTATACGATCTCCTATATGGTCATGAAATTCGTGGAATCTAAGCAAATTTATTAAACATCCCTATTGAAAGATCCAACCAAGCCTTCCTATCTTTGAGATAAGTTGCCTTCTCTAAGTCATACAATGTTCCTTACTGTTTCACCAGACACATTTATACTGCAATCAATGTATTTGCCCATTATCACATAATAGTAATATTGTAACGTTATTGCATCAAACCGCGTTCTATGCAGCTTATTGATCACGTATAAAACTAAATGAAGAACTAGTTGTATCTTCACAGCACGTTTATTCTCAATAGATCATGCTTCCTCAACCAACGTTAATAAAATCGATTAACAAATAATATTTTGCTGTGTTGAGATTTTCCATTAGAGAGAGTTAGATAAATGCCCATGAGAATAATAATGAATAACTTTTTAATACAGAAACCTGACGTATAATAACATTTACCAAACCCTAAACATAAAATATAACATACTGTCATATAACACATCACATGCAACCATGGATCGTATATAATACCAGTGTAGCATGTAACAAACACTTCAATTTTAATTTTATAATATGTAAACATTAAATGATTTTAGTAGCTATATTAATGGTACAAAGCATACTAAAAATATTTTGTATAGCAATATATAATTAAAATCAATCTATTTATACTTATATTTAACATTCATATAGCGCGGAATATTTTAAAATAGTAACACATAACGTGTTGATACGTTCCTCTTTGGAAGTACTTTTTGTTGTTTCGATGTAAAATACCCTGTTGTATTTTATTATTGTGCTGTAATGGTTTCGTTGCTGGCGGGACCATATAATGTGGTTTACCTCGTGTTTCTGGCGTTTTGCTGATGTGTTGTTGGTGTGTTGTTGGTGTGTTATTGGTGTGTTGTTGATGCGTTTTTAGTGTGTTGTTAGTGTGTTGTTGATGTGTTGTTGGTGTGTTGTTGATGTGTTGCTAGGTTGCGTTTGTTCCTTATTTAGTTTATGGTTTGCTTCTGTGGTGTTATGCTTTTGATGCTGGTTACTCTGTGTGACTATGGATTTTTTGTTTGTTAGCATAGTAGGTACTTGTTTAGATGTTCCAAAAATACACACTACACTATTTAATATTCTTTGATGTTTTATGAAAATATATTGCGTTATGCATGGTTAGTATTACAAACATATGTTATTTTGGGTGTCCTTGTGCAGTTCGATGCTTGTAATGTCCTGCACAAATCCGCAGCGGTACAATGTGTTGGATCACATCATGTCGCTGCACAATATCTTGTTATATCGGGTTGTAAGGGATTGCATTGTGCCTGGTTGAGTTATCTCTGGTAGGTCATCTTGTATTGTGGACAGTATTGTGTTGGTTGTACGTTATTATTGCACTAAATTGCATTTTCTGAGGTGTTGCCGTGCTCGACAGATCAGTGTT